ATTGTAGCACCAGAAAGTGTTTTAATAAGGAGCTCCCCCTACCAGTTTGGGATTAAATAACAAGCTCAATCTCTCTCTGTGTTCTTCTTTATTAAGATTTCTCTGCATGCCACAATGTAAAACATTGCACGGCCACGCTGTGCTAATTATATATTTAGCAAAAGAAATGTCGAGGTAGGAATTGCAATTAATATAAATAACATGACGCTAAGCATCGGCCAATGAATGTGAACTAACAACAACAAGGTCGCTGGTATGGCTGCGACCGTGACCGTAGGAAAAAACCCTAATATGAAGGTATTTTACTGCATTTTTCAGTAATGTTCTGTTCTTCTAGAATATCATTAAAGTTACGTAAATAGACTTTGACTTCACATTTTGAATGTAAATTAACGTTAAATCACTGTAATGTAATACAACATAATTTTCATGATTATTAAATGTATCTGTCTGTACATATGCATATTTAGATTGTTAACAAAACTTGATGGTTGTATGTAAAAGCCTGTCACAGATACAAGACAGTTTGTGAAATTTCTTTGCTAAAGACACCCTCCCAGTTAATTTTAGAGTTAAAGCCTGAGACTTCTAAGTCAGTCTGCACTGTTAGAAAAAGCATCTTGAAAAAATGGTAATATTTCGGCAGCTGGGGCGCCAAAATACGACCGTATAATTACAGAAAATAATTCCCGCATAAAAATACAGTCATTTTCAGTAATGAAAATAGAGTTTGTTGCGCTAATTTTACATGGGATTCTGCCTTTTCCAAGTGCTTTTAGACATTAAATTAGGAACATTTTAGCGTGATCAAACAATGAAATGACCTATAAACAAGGTCACTGAATGTGGAAATATGAATCATAATACGTAAATGTACAGAAATATACAGTTAAATAATAATTGATTGCATGCCCTGGGACAGACTGACAGAGGTGAGGCTGCCATATCGCACCATCGGCCCCTTTGGCCAACACCCACCAGTAGGCGGTAGGTGAAGAGTCTTGACCACGGACACAACGACGAAGAGTGCCCGAGCCGGGGCGCGAACCGGCAACCTACAAGGGGAGCTGCCAACTCTTGAGCCACGAACGCCCTAACTAACAATGATAATAATACTTATGTGATGTAACACAAGCTTATAGGGCTCATGTTGTATGCTTTTCCATAGCATTACATTTGAATTCAACAGTTCAATCTTTCAAATAACGGACAGATATTTGTGAAATCATGATACATTTGTGAATGTATTTTAAGATAATGATCGCACTCCGAGGTCGGTGTCAAGCATCAAACCTCGTATTCCTCCTATTCCGTTTTATTTATATAGGGTCACATCACAAAAACAGGCTGTGACTTTCATATCATGAAGTATTTCATCATAACAAAATTAATCTCTGGCTTCATTTTAAAGATTTATTGTCTACCACTTACAACTGCTGCTTCTCACTTTTGGGTTAAGTCACCTCAGTCACTATGAGACAGTCATTCACTTTAGTGGTTTTAGTGTCAGTGAATGGAACTTTGTGAAATTAATGAGAGCCATAAAAATTAGAAAAACTTTTTTTGTTCCTAAGATGTGCATGGACACAAATCTAGCCAACCTATAGCTACTCCATACACAGACTCTCACCCGATTGGATTGTTACTGATTTAAAATTAGGTCTTTTTTTCTGACAGTTTTTGTTGATGTTCACTTAGCTGACCAATGCGGGCTATCGATGTTATCAATGCACTTCTAATTTTGCTCATTTTCTGTGTGAATTTGGTCTTACACTGAGTCATTAGAAGAAGAAAACTTGCTTTCAAAAAACATCAATCACTGTTAATTCCAAGTGTTCCAAAATAAGATTTGGGGAACCTGCAGTCAGCTGAGACTGAAGAAGTCACTTGGATGAGTGACGAAACGTTTCTCCCACAAAACGCTACGTCCAGATGAACAGAATCAACTTTTGGAGATTTACTTACCTGGATGATTGAGAATGCATCAAGACGAAATTCCAGGTGTTCAGTGGGTGAAGGACAGAGTTTGAGGAACTAGCGTCCAAACTGCTGCATAGAGCTTACAAGACACTTAATATCTATATTTGGAAAACATGGTGAAACGTTATGTTTCTACAGTGGCATGACAAATGTGACAACGGAAATGACTGCAAAGCTTAAACCACAGCACACAGTGAGTCATACTGCTTATTTATGGCTTTTAAGAAGAAGTATCTTAAGTGTCACTCAGTGAAAATGGGAGATTTACAACCTCGTTCCATGTACATGTCTAAATAAGGCCTTATAAAGCCTATAGGCGTGGTCGACTAGTTAACCCTCTCAGGCTCAAATTAAACTTTTTGTTGCTAATGCACAACCAAGTCCTGCAGTGGTACTTCTGATTTTTAAAAAAAACCTCATAAAATATCTATGTGGGGTAATCGGGTAGTTCGTTTTTTAACTGTTGCAAATCGGCAACGCCTGCCTCAAGAGGGTTAAAAAATTCTCATCACAATGCTCTGCTGCAGGCTGCGATGCACCTTCACGCGACCAATAGAAAGAAGGTGTAATATGGCGTTATTTTTGTGCCTCTATTCGGAGCCTACGTAAATAATTTTGCAAGGACAAATGTGGCATTTTGAGGGCAAAATTATTCTGAGCAAAGCAAAACTTAAAATTTATTGCATCATGCAGTATTTCAGTGTTTGCTATTATCCATATAGACACACAATAATAGCCCCTCTCGCTCAGTCGTTGCATTTATTCTTGCTCAGATCTCTGCTCTGTGTGCTGACATCTGCGGACCTGCTCTCAGTGTGTTACTCTCAAAATCTCTGCTCCCTGCATGCTCAACTCTGTGCCACAAAACCAATCAATCACACACTTGGATGCAAAAATCCTGATTAGCTGTTTTACTCTTCAATCAGCTCGCTAGCTACTGCATTCCACAAACACTAGCCAAAATGTAGCTAAATCCAGTGGAGTGGTTTGGTTTAACTTTATCAGATCAACTATATTTTCAGTTAGAATGTTTAATTATTTTATTTCAAAATATATAATTTTTAAGACCATTGTTGGTGTAGTATAGTGCTGTCGCATTGTCGTGATTAAACTTCTGCTGCCTTCATCCTCAAAATTCTATTAAAGAGAGAAAAACTGAAGAGATTGTTGAACACTCAGCTGCCAGTCAGCTGCACTGCTAAATGTCTTGGTGTTTCAAGAAGGACGCTCTACCTGAGGATGGAAGATTTTGACTTGTCTGTGACAAGAAAATACAGTACAATGAATGACCAAAACCTGGACAATATCATATCATGTATCAAAAATCAAATGCCAAATGGCTATCAAATGGTTCAAGGACATTTGGTTTCTAATGATCTCCACGTTCAGTGGTGGAGAATGATGGCCTCCATGCACTGAGTTAATGCTGTCTCTCCCTGGTCCACATAGACACAAATCACAAGCTTATAAGGTACAATACTCAGTTATACAGCTCTAACACAAGTTCAGCAGAAAGATGTATGTTATACTTTAAAACTGCTTTAATCAACTTTGTATATCGATATTTATATTTTCCATCATAACGACTCTATCTAAACACATAATCTGCTTCAGAAGGTGTGCAAAACGCTGGGGAAAGGCAGCAGTGGGAAGTGTGTGTGTGCCAAACCCTGAACGTATGCCTTGTATTATTGGAACCATTGTTTGATTCTGTCATCTCTTCTTAAGATGCAGAGTAAATGAAAAATCCCTCCTTCTGGAAGAAGGCTGAAGAGGAAACATCTCTTCAGGACTGACTCTTTCCTAATCTGTTTCACAACAATGCGACAGCACTATACTACACCAACAATGGTCTTAAAAAATTGTGTATTGTAAAATAAAATAATTCAACAAACTAACTGAAATGGGTTTTAATTTAAACCAAACCACTCCACTGGGTTTAGCTACATTTTGGCCGGTGTTTGCGGAATGCAGTAGCTAGCGAGCTGATTACAGATCAAAACAGCCAATTAGAATTTTTGCATCCAAGTTTGTGATTGGTTGGTTTTGTGGCACATTTATAACGGTGTACGGAAAGAGTTGAGCATGCAGGGAGATTTTGAGACGGGATCTTCATGCTGAGAGGAGGTCCGCAGATGTCTCACAGAGCAGAGCTCTGAGCAAGAGCAAATGCCAACAACTGAGTGAGGGGGCTGTTATTACATGGATATGATATGGATATCTGTATGGATAATAGCAAACACTGAAATACATTTATTGCACGCAGCAATAATTTTTGTTCAAGTTAAGCTTGTCTTTGCTCAAAATAATGTTCCTCTCAAAATGCCACATTTGTACTTGCAAAAATTATTTACTTACTCTAGGTAGCAGGGATAGCTCAGTAGGTAGAGTGGTGGCCCCATGATCGGAAGGTCGGGGGTTCAACTCCACTGAACGGCTACCCTGAGGTACCACTGAGCAAGGTACCATCCCTACACACTGCTCCCCGGGCGCTGCATTGGTGACTGCCCACTGCTTCACTGGGTGAATGGGTTAAATGCAGAGGAACTATTTCCCTATGGGGACTAACACACACACATACACATACAAAAAAAAGTATAGCAGTACAATAACGCCATACTACTGCTGCGCTAAATTCAACCACACGATGAAAGAAAACATCCTGTGCGGTCTACGTTCACATATAGGGACGTATATATTGGGAGGAGGGGGGGAGTATAGTGCAAACGACACACTCTTCACGAATCGGGGAAGTCACAAAGCTTTCTTTTTTAGCAATGAGGGACACATGTTATTTAAACATTTGAACATTATACAACACAAACTTTCATAGAGGATCCGAAGTCTGAGAGATACATGTTTTGAAATGACAAGAAGCAGATGCATCAGCACACAGAGCGGCCGCCAAAAAAAAAGCCTTTGCAAGCAGAGTGCAGCGACCAGCGCAACACAAATTTTTGGTCCTTCGTTTTAGCTTGCGGTGAGCGCAGCGCATGACACTCACTGTGTGCACTTGGACAATGACACGAAACCTCCTATTGTGGGTCCTCATCCTATATGCCTCCCCCAAGCTCTCGGGTAAGTCACTGGATACTTTTACCTCCACTCACACTCTGGGTACTAAAACCTAGTTTTGTCCTACCCTCTGTTCATTCAACCCTCTACAGGGGACAGGTTTCTTTTCCACAATTAGCCCTCTAAATCTCCTAGCCAAGCAGTTTATCAGTTCTGGTCTTTCATGTTCAGATGAGCTCGCCTCTCAGCCCATTGCATTTGTTTATTAGACATATGATTATAAGGGGAACATTAAAACACTATGTCTCACGCCTGTGGAACACATTTTCTATGCACACTCATTACGGCCAAATAATGCCTCAAAAGACAAACACAATTTAGCTAAAAACATTGAAAGATCCGTTTTTTCGGCCATCCAAAGGTTCCACAGTAGTGGACTCTCAGCAGCTGCAGTCTCCACTTGAAACCCCACAATCGCTGCAGCACATATCCAGCCAAATCGCTGAACATGCTCGTAGGCAAGAAGTGAAGCAGCTCACAGCGGTGAGAAGTGACCATCATTGGAGAGCAGACACAATCTGACCACTACTGGCACAATTTTGCATCTGATGTTTTCGTAAAGCTTTTATTTTGGTATTTCCGTTGAGCCGTACCATAAATTTGCATGTTAGCAAAATATTTAGTTTCCTGTAACATTTACATTTAACATTTAGATTTAAATATAATATTTCGATTTAACATTTAACATTTAGATTTAACATTTAGATTTAACATTTAGATTTAACATTTAAAATTGTGCTTTAAATATGAAAAATTACAAATATTTTACTAAATGTTGTAAAAACTGACTCGAAAAAACATGTTTTTGTAAAGTTTTGAGCTAAATCTTGCCGTTAATTGCAGCATGTTTCACTTTACAAACGGCGCCCCATAGACCTCCTTATAGGAAACCTCCACTCGAACTATCATCATGCATGCAGTGTGGATGCTGTCATTATGACACATAGCCACATTTTAAATTTGGCAGCCTAAATATGGACATTTCCAAAGAAATCTCAATATTCTGAATTTAATACTACATTTATTGTCTGTAATGTTATAATCCATATCACTCACTCACTGAGCCAAGTGGAGCAAGTAAAAGGAAAGCGTGGGGTGTGTTTGAAGCTCTGTCAAAGTGCTGTTTTAGGAAATAATCAATGCGATTGTTTAGTTGATCATTTATACACATAAAGTTATTCAAGCAATTTTTATTTACATCACAAATAAAAATGAGTGACACTGATTGTTATTGTTTTGAGCACTGCAAAATCTCACAGGGAGCAGGTCAACAAAGTCATTTTGTTTTTTTCTCAAACTTGAGAATGTAACTTTAATTAAATGTTTAAAGTCACGATGATCACATGTTTGAAGCCTAAATGACATTTGGAATGGGATATCAAATTATGTAGTCAGTTTTGGTTTTTTGTTGTTGTTTTATTGGTTTGGTTAAAAATAAATAGATATATAAAACTTTAAAGCAGGATGTAATCAGACGAGATTAGGTAGCACAAATATTGAAAGCAATGAGTTAAGCATTCGACTAATTTCAAAATAGACCCTGTTGACACTAGCATCCAAAATTAATATCCTTTTTCTAATCACACATATGTGATTCACTTCCACAGGAAGCCATGGTCCTGAATTTGAGGAGGGAAAGCACTATGAGGTGGTTCGACCGGTCAGACTTCACACAATCAGAAAAAGACACACAGAGGTTTCTTTTCTTTTCTATTTTAAATCCTGTGATGACAATCAAATCAGCTGCTGTTTTTCTCCTGATTACGGAAAATGAAAAAATAAAAATGAATGACTCAAAGCAAAATTTCCTGTTTTTTTGCCCACAGTACCACAGACCAGACACTCTTACATATGCAATGACTGTGGGCGGACAAGACATAGAAATGCAACTTGAAAGAAATAAGTAAGTTTTTACTTCCCTAAACCTGTGTGTCTGTGCAGTGTGAGAAAATAAGTGGACAAATGGATATACAAGTAATGTAAAATATCCTGTTTCAAAATGCAAAAAAAGCAACAATTAAGGAGACTAAAAAGTACTTAAAATGCCCCAATCAACAAATGAGTTTCTGTAAGAAAACACTGAATAAACTGGAATTTGACTCAGTCTTCACGTCAAATCATATGACATGTATGTTATTCTTTATCCTTCTGTATTCAGTGAATTACTTACCAAAGATTACACTGAGTCTTACTACCAAGAAGATGGGACTCGAGTCACCACAGTACCGAATGACATTGTAAGGGTTTGCATTTGTAGACAAACTTACCTCAAACTTACAGCTGTAAAATTGCACATTTTACTAGATTTAAAACGCTTCAAAGGCTTTTAAGGCTGTTAGTGAACGCTGGAGACATAAGTAGATGAAAAGAAAGTTACATGTTGTCATTTAATAACACAGTCACCATTTTCATGTCTTTGCCAGGATCACTGCTTCTATCATGGGAGGATTGTGAATGACAGTGAGTCATCTGTTAGCATCAGTACCTGTGATGGACTCAGGTGAGCCACCGTCTTAATCTTTTCTTTATTTAAACTGTCATGACATCTTTCCAAAGCGATACCCACCCATGCTGTCTGTCATAATAATTCAAATAACCTCACAGTTTCATTCCTTTGTTGTATTAAGCCACAAAGACAAGTAACCAGTTTTTGTATTTGCATAACGCATTAAATTAATAATGTTAAACCTTCATATGAGATGAATAGATTTCAGGCCAGAAACAAGTTCTCCAAATACTCTCATTACTTTTTAGATGTAAACCTAAAGTTAACCTTATCCTAACCCTCAACCAAACCTCACCTCACAATGACCCGAACTTTAATTACACCTCACCAGCAAAACATTAAATTAACATAGAATAGAATAGAATAGAATAGAATAGAATAGAATAGAATAATCCTTTAATTGTTCCAAAATGGGAAATTTGGTTGTAACAGCAGCAGAATAAAAGGACATATACAAACAGAAAAAGACAATGAACAGAAAACCACACAATTTTTACAGAAAAAATATGTACATCATCGACAATAGTTACAAAAACAGAGTACTGTACAGTTATTAAGATTAAAGTATAGGGTTTTTTTTAATACGAATTGAAAAAAATAATGTGCAAGTTATAACAGTAGTAGTTGTTTGGTTGATTGTTGGGAGCAGTTTCAATTGTACAGTCTGACAGCTGCAGGAAGTACCTGCGGAAACGCTCCTTCGTGCTAGGATGCAGCAGTCTGTCACTGAACGAACCCTGCAGTTCAGCAACATTTACATGCATGGGGTGAAAGACTCTGTCCATCAGAGATGTTATTTTGTCCAGAGTCCTTCTGTCTCCCACCACCTGCACTGGGTCCAGGGTGCATGCTAGAACAAAGTTGGCCTTCCTGATGAGTTTGTCCAACCTGTTCCTCTCAGCGGCAGATAAACTGCTGGTCCAAAGTACAACACTGTAAAATATGACAGGTGCCATCACAGAGTCATAGAAGGTCTTTAAAAGCGCTCCCTGGACTCCAAATGACCTGAGCCGCCTCAGCCGGTAGAGTCTGCTCTGACCCTTCCTGTAAAGAGCATCAGTGTTGTGGCTCCAGTCCAGTTTATTATTCAGGTGAACACCCAGGTACCTATACGAGTCCACTATCTCAATGTCCACTCCCTGGATGTTCACCGGTGTCAGTGTGGTCGGTCTGCGTCTCCTGAAGTCCACCACCAACTCCTTGGTTTTCCCGGCAGGTGGTTCTGCTGGCACCAGTCCACAAAGTCCAGAGTCCACTGTCTGTACTCTGAGCTGTCCTCACCTGTGATGAGGCCGGCTATGGCAGAGAACTTCTGTAGGTGGCAGCGTGGGGAGTTGATGGAGAAGTCTGCAGTGTAGAGGGTGAAGAGGAACGGTGCCAGCACAGTTCCCTGTGGGGCCCCCGTACTGCAGACCAGCGTATCAGAGACACAACCCTGTCCTCATGTACTGTGGGCGTCCCGTGAGGTAGTCCAGTATCCACTGGGACATGTGGTGGTCCACTCCTTATAGCTCCAGCTTGTCCCTCAGAAGTCATGGCTGGATGTTGAAAGCACTGGAGAAATCAAAGAACATGATCCTCACAGTGCTTCCAGGCGAGTCAGAGTTCTGTGCAGGAGGTAGATGATGGCGTCCTCCACCCCGATGCCAGACTGGTAAGCAAACTGCAGCGGATCCAATGAAGACCTCACCAGGGGGCACAGATGGTTTAGAACCAATGTCTCGAGGGTCTTCATCAGATGTGATGTCAGGGCTACCGGCCTGTAGCTGCTGAGGTCCTTGGGATGGGAGGTCTTTGGTACCGGTACCACACATGAGGTCTTCCACAGCTGTGGTACTTGCCCCAGCGACAGGCTCAGGTTGAACAGATATCCTAGGATGCCACACAGTTCATCTGTGCTGCATCTCAGGAGCCTGGAGCTGATGCCATCTGGACCTGCAGCCTTCCGCACCTTAATCTTGCAAAGCTTGTTCCTCATTTGAAGTGCTGAGATAGAAAGAGTGGATTTTGGGGGAGGGGGGTGTATGTTGGAGTCCACAGCATACACCCTCCTGGCTGGGAGCTGAGAGGTGGGAAGTCCTGAGATGAAAGACAGGCAGTGCCTGAAGATGAGGGAGATAGCTTCAGGGGGGACGATGCTGGGAGGGGTGGGTGGTTGATCAAACCTATTAAAATATTTATTTATGTCATTCACCCACCCCAAGTCTCCTGCAGCCTGGGGGTTGGTTTTTGTCCTGAGATTGCCTCCAGGCTGTTCCAAACCCCTCTGATGTTGTCCTGTTGCAGCTGCTCTTCCATCTTTCTTCTGTAGTTTTTCTATCCCTTGCCTTATCTTCCATTTCTGCTTTTTCTGGACAGCTCTCAGCTCCTGTTTGTCTCCAGATCTAAAGACTCTCTTCTTCTCCTTGAGGAGAGTCTTAATTTCAGGATTCATCCATGGCTTGTTGTTACAAAAACACCGTACCTTTATGATGGGTACGGCGTTGTCCACACAGAAGTTCATGTAATCTGTAAAGCAGTCTGTGATGCTGTTGAGGTCACCCTCTAGGGGGCTGCAGAGGTTGTCCCACACAGTAGAACGGAAACAGTCACTCAGGACCTCTTCAGTCTCTGCCGACGATTTCCTTACTGTGCATTTCACAACTGGTTCTCTGTGTACTAGAGGTTTATACACAGGCTGGAGATGAAAACAACAGAAGAGAAGGTTTGGCCCAAATAAGTCTTTAGACGACAGTGGATAGGTTCCTGAGTTGAGTCAGCCTCAAAGCAACATCTGAAAAATGAATGAACTAACCAGCATGATTTGGTTTAGGGGTTACTTCAGAACATCTGCTCAAAGGTACCTGATTGAGCCACTATCCAGTAACGATGAGGGGGATCATGCAGTGACGACTTTTAATGAAAAGAACTTCACGCCTGCCGTGTGTGGGGTCACTAACACCAGCTGGAGTGACGACTATGAACCTCCAACAAGCCGCAGCCGCTCTAGATCAGGGGTAACACAATTAGTTTTGTCCTCTTCACCAGAGTTCCTCCAAGTCATGACCTCTGAAACCTTTTAGGTCTTCAAACTATCTAAGTTTAATGTGACAAATACTAATACATCAGTCAGTCTACCAATATTATTCTTATAATAACAAAGTTTAAGTAAGTCTTCATTTGTGTTGTTCTGTTTGAGTTATCCATATTAACATTTTTCTTCAGGGTATTTCTATTGTACAGCAGCAGAAATACGTTGAGCTCGTCCTTGTTGCTGATAATCGCGCGGTAAAATTAATCTTCTTTTATAACTTTTTCATTTTTTCCCCTTGCTTTGCAAAATTAGATTTTTATAAGATAAACTGGTGAGAAGCAGGATGAGAAATTTGTCTTGTGGTGTTTCAGTATGTGAAGATGAACAGGGATCAAAAGAAGATGAGACAGAGAATATTTGAGATTGTCAACTTTGTCAACATGGTGAGTCTGTTTTTTTGCTATTTCTATACAGATTCCATACCAATACAGACGCACTGTACTACATACTGTTCTGCAGTAGCTGCTAGCAGTTGGAGTGTAATGTTACATCCCCAATATTGTCTTCTTCAGGTCTACAAACCTCTGAGGACCTTTATTGCTCTGGTGGGGTTGGAGATATGGACGAATGGTGACCTGATCTCTGTGACCCCCCCAGCAGGGGAAAATCTGGATGCTTTCATGAAGTGGAGAAACTCTGAGCTGGTGACGAGGATAAAACATGACAATGCACATCTTATAAGGTATGGATAAATTGTATAAGTAGAATTGAGTCAGACTCAAATCATGTGGAGCAAAATGTCTCCTACTTTCAACAGTAACCGAGCAGGAAAGAGAAAACTAATTTCAGAAATCTGAGTTGTGAGTATCCACCTCCACATTCCACAATCAGGAAAGTTCACAGTAGCTAATCTAGTAACATTAACGACCTTTGGCAGTGGGGGTGTTATTGAAAATATAAGTGAGTAGATGGATGATATGAATCCTGGATATGAATTTAAGGCTTCTCTTTCAGTGGTATCGACTTTGAAGGAGCAACTGTGGGTCTTGCTTTCATCGGGACTCTCTGTTCTGGTCACTCTGTCGGCGTACTACAGGTGAGGTGTTCTAGGAGGATAGGAAGACTTTAATCTATATACTTACCTCTGTGATATTTTGAGACCAGTGTCTTTTGGTGTGTAGCTTATGTTGCAAAGTCTAAATCATATTGAGGCTGATGGTCTTCTGATTCTTGCCATACTCATGCAATACTTTTTGAGTTACCCAGTGAAACTTTTTAAAATATATTAAATTAATAGGAATCAAATTTAATTCAGGCATTCATGGTCCCCAGATGATGTATCTCACTGACTTCATAACTTCTGCTCTTGCTTAATGGTGTGGTAAATAATTGTTAATTTTGGAAACATGTTCCTAAATCCATGGGATTATTTCAGATATTTAGTTCATTCATTCATTTGCCCCTCAAAAATCAACTTATTTGTTCATCTGATACTTGTGACCAAATGCCAGAGAAAACTAATGACCTTTCCATCATTCCATTACCAATATGTAGTGACCGCTTCCTGCTAAAAGAGAAAAATTAAATTAAATGAGTGAAACTGAACAAAGTTTATGATCTAGATCTAGACTCAAAACTGAGTCCAAGTCTTTTTTGCACATTAGTCAGAGAAATTAGCAAGATCTCCAAAACTGCATTGCAGTACTATAAAACTCATTCTTTGACTAACCAATCAGTTTTGAGCGTTGCTCTATCTTGTCATTAGTGAACTTTTACTTCTTTTTCTTGTGCTTCATTTTTTTTAGGATCACAGTGACCGAGCCATTGCAGTGGGAGCAACACTGGCTCATGAGATGGGCCACAGCCTGGGCATGGACCACAATGACTCCAGTGGTTGTTTATGTTCTGAGGATAGCTGCATCATGGCAGCAGCCCTCAGGTAAGAAAAGCTGTTGAACGCCGACTCTTTGTCAAGTCAAAGGGTTGCTCGCCCATTTACGAGTGGCACCATGTTCTGTGTATGGAAGACTGTTAATTTTTGTATATGGTTGTGGGAAAACCTGGTTGTAAAATATTATTGTCTAGTGGACTTAAGTTCTAATGCAGATTGACCATTTGACTTAACACTTTTAAAATGAGTATCCTTTAAGTTTGTGTGTAGGATGGTTAAAGCAGATCACTGCTACTGACGTGTTTCTAGTTGTGATAGAAATGAACATTTTACATAAAATTAGAGCAGGGGATGTTAATAAGGGTTGGATTGCTCATGATATTCACAGATGTGATAACTAACACTGTTTTGTATCCTTTGGGTTTGTATTTCAAAGTTTTTCACCTATGGCTGAAAAGAGGATTAAAGAGACAACAACCCCCCCCCCCCCCCCCACACACACACACACACACACACACACACACACACAAACAAAAAGATCTGCCTGGTTATTGAATGAAATCCAGTTAAACACCTTGGTAGATAATGTGTCTGTTCCTCTTCAGCTGGAAAACTCCTCAAAGCTTCAGTAGCTGCAGCAGCAGCAACTATGAAAAGTACCTAACAAGCCGCAGCCCCAGCTGTCTGCTGGACAAACCAGACTACAAGAGTGTCGTGGCTCCCGCGGTCTGTGGAAACGGCTTCAGAGAGGAAGGAGAGCAGTGCGACTGTGGTTCGGTGCAGGTAAGTAAGCACATCAGCTGCTTAAACCTTTCATTTTGTAGCAAGTTGATCTGATCTGCAAGCTGTTGATGATTTGATCTGGTGAAGGAGAACTTTTCTTTTTCATTCAGTTCAGTTTTATTCATTTAAAAGCAAATCACAACAACAACGGTTTGAAGGGATTTTGTAAGATAGAGGTCTTATAACAACACAGCGAAAACCCCAACAATCAAATAACTGCCTATGAGCAAACATTTGGCAACAGTGGGAGTGAAAACCCCTTTTTAACAGGAGGAAAGCCCTCAGCAGCCTAGGCCTATTGTAGCTCCACAAACTTCTATTTCTTGATGTTTTGCTGGCCTCTCTCTTACAAAGACTATTTTGATAAACAGTGTAGCAGTACAAATGTTTTTATTACTATTATGCTATGATTCTGATCTGTGTCTGTGCATGCTCAGGTCTGAAATGGCTTCTGAACTCAGAATGGAATTCAGCTCCATGTTTCCTTTGTCTGATCTTGAGTCTTTTAATGAAGTGCTTGCTCTGAGGCGATGTGAGAAAAACAGCTTTCTGATACACACCAGATATGTACCTTCTATGAAATAATGAATGGGCCTGAGCCACACATATATATTTTTTTTCAAGTCCCACTATTCAACTGACTTCTACCAGAAGTTGAAGAACTGCTGATTTATTTATTTTTTATTTTGCAGTATTACTTGGAATATGTACTTAACACTTTTATGTACCTGTATAGAAATATAGTGAAAGTATAGCTGTGTGTAACAGATGAACAGTTTGTAGTTTTCGGTGAAAAGAAAATTACAGTCAGAGTGATGTTTAGACCTGTTTTCACCTCTGCTGGAATTCAACAAGGGGAGATCATTAGAAGGAACTGAACTAGTGCTGTCAAAATTAACGCATTAACGCAAATTAATCCGCCATCAAGGTCAACACGATTAAAAAATTTTAACGCAATTAAAGCATCTGGAGTGCAGAATGTGTCAAAATCCCCGAAATGCTTCTGTCAACACATTTCAGGCAGTTTGTCCAAGTAGAGTTACCTTCGCACATGCGCAAATGGGCAGTTGATCTGGTAGTGACGGGCAGCTGAACCAATCAACTCAATATGGAAGATGATAAACGCACATTGGCCCTCTAAATTGGAAATTTGAGTATTAAACCTAGAGATAAAGATTCCTCACGGGAACAGAGCAAACAGATGTTTAATAATGCATCCCAGCACTAAGACCTAACAGCAGCCTGATGAGTTCTAATATATGTCGTCCCTGTAGGAGTGCACCAATCCCTGCTGCAACGCCACCACCTGCACCCTGAAAGAGGGTTCACAGTGTGCTGAAGGCGAGTGCTGTGAGAACTGTAAGGTGAGTCAGTAAGAAGACCGATCAGTGTAACTGGTGTCACTAAGGCTACGTTCACACTGCAGGGGAAAGCGCATCAAATCCGATTTTTTTGACCCTATGCGACCCATATCCGATCATGGTATGACAGTGTGAACGGCACAAATCTGATATTTTCAAATCCGATCTGGGTCACTTTTGTATGTGGTACTGAATCCGATACATATCCGATGTTTTAGAAAGCGACTGCTGTTTGAACAGTCAGGTCACATTAAATCCGTCTTTTACGTCACTGACACAAGACAGACGCCAATTATCAGCACCGGAGAAGCTCTGGGTCTAAACAGAGCGTGTTGTGTGTGACATATTCTTTTGCGCATGCGGGCCGCTTTGAGGGTTCACACTAGAGCGCGTTTGCTGTCGCATTTTATTTGTAGTGTGAACAAGCAGACAAAAAAAAAAAAAATCGGATTTGATCAAAAAAATCGGAATTGAGCATTAAGACCTGCAGTGTGAACGTAGCCTTATTTTCTCTTCCGGCGCCGCTCCAGGTAGCCAGTATCAGCAGCTTCGACCTGACCAAGTCCTTTTTTCTCTTTGTTGTTATTGTCTTACTTGTTCTTGTTTTTATATTGTGGACTGTACTACTCCACAATGGAGCTCAGAATTTTATGGACAATTGTGTTTATCATCACATTTTTTACGGTATCTGTGTCCAGAGAGCGTGTACTGGCCAGGAGTTACACACCTCCACACAAAAGTCACTGATGCCAGAGTGGGTTTAGACTTCGCTTTATATGGCAGGTGTGAAAATGTAATAACATTTTAAATGCACCTTAGAACACACATGCATCAACACTACAATGAGCGGGTGGAGGGAGGTTTGGAGTCTTCTCTCACCCCCATTGTCTGCGACCTGCTGGAGCAGGGGGGCTAGGACTAGGAGGAGGAGTTGGCCGTCCGACTGCGGTCTGGAGTGTGGAGCCTTCCTGCTGCTGCGGAGTCGGGGCGGTCTGCCTCCCCCCACCGCAGGGAAA